ATTTGTCTATTTTTATAGTTTTGGCCTATACTTTTATTTTTTAAGAAATTAACGTGAGAATAACTTTTATTTTGATATTCGGTTATCGCATTTGAAATGTTAATTTAACGGATATGAATATTTGACCTGTTTGGTTTTTGAATATCTTACTCGAAACTATTCCATTTCTTATAGGTATACTTGCAGGTATATTATTACAATGCACGTATAAATTTGTTACAATGTTACGGACACTTAAAAATAAAATGTTAATAATTCTATAGATAAAACGATGTGGTTTATAAATAATTATTGTAATACAGTTCGCTAATACGACCGCGGTGAAACGATTTTAAATTATCCTAAAGGAAAAAAATGTTACAGCAGAAACGATTTTTTTTTTTGCAACGATGCACTCCAGGTGCTTTTAACATAATACACATTTTACTTATATATAGTTATTGAAATATTATATCAATTATATCACTTGCATCTGATTCGCTGCGGGACAAAATTTCGGCGTTCAACAGGGATGTGACGGACAAACCGCTGGCGCAAGGTTGCTCTTCGTAACTGGGTCGTCTGCAGTTGATTCGGTCGCGTTCGTTCTGCACGGCTAGAAAGTTCATAAAAACATTGTTATTATTATGCAGTACGATAAGTACCCAGTACTTTGCAATATTATWTAAGTCAGATATCGATCGAGCTACCGTCGAATAATCCGCGGTCATTCGCCGTCAGTGACTTACCTTCTTTTCGCATCCCGGCTTTGAAGCATTTCCGCAAACGACAGTATCGGCACTGGTTGCGCTTGTCCTTGTTGACGATGCAGTTTCTCGAAAATCTGTCAGCACAACGATACAAACAAACGGTATTAGTTCATACTGTGATAATATTATTAACGTTATATCCTAATAATGGCACCAACGCGGTTATACACATTTGCAATGAAATCCGCCGATCGCGGTGCAATAAATTTTCTATTAGTGAAGGTGGCGAGGGGGGTAACGCGGGGAACTACAACTGTCGGTCGGTCTGTCGAAAAACAATGATTTTCAAAACTCTGATCTGCGCAATGAGTGACTCACCTGCACGAGTAGAAATGGCTCTTGCGGACGGACCTCCGGAAGAATCCTTTGCAGCCGTCACAGGACGCCGCCCCGTAGTGTTTGCCAGTCGCCCGGTCGCCGCAGATGGAGCACGCCTGGTTCTGATTGGTCATGGGCGGCGAGTGTACTTGCGGYGTGTCGATGGTCTGCAAATAGGTCTGCTCGCGGTGCACCGGCATGCCGTTCAGGTCCGATTCTGCTATAAATCAGTTTCTCTTAATTTACTTGAAACAGTTGAAACGATATTTTTTTCATACAACTGTGTAATTGGGTATTACAGATAAGTAGCCCCTACGACCTATATACYCCTCCCCCACAATATKATCACMAATTATTTTTAATTTAAAACCTTAAACACCCAAAGACTTTTAGTTATAATAACAAGATAATGGATAGAGAAAATAAACAGAAACTTAAAGAAAATATGGGTAAATATGGTCAACGTAATATAACCGATAAGCATGCTGTCTCGCATCAATACCTGTCTAGTATTTATTTATTATATTTATAAAGAACACATTATTACATTATATATAGTTATAGACTTATATAGTGACTCTATATCGAGAGGTTTCAATCAACTTGCAACTTTATGGGTATTTTTACAAATTAGATACATGGATTGATAATTAGCCAAACCTAGCGTACAACCAAGTTTA